GAAAAAGTGCCTACTTCTACCTGCATGCACGGATTTGCATGCTAGCTGCAAAACTGACTACCTGTCTGTGTGGCAACAAACCCACTTCAAGCATTTTACTGCCACCTAAAGGACTGGAGTGCGAAATGTTGTTTCTTACTCTTGTTAAATAAAAGTTGATAAAAAATCAGTGCCTCTGTGATTTGAAAAATACATTTTGATAAATTGCAATTAAATTGCAAATGCAATTAATTGCCCAGCCCTAACATCCATACCTTTAAAAACTATAAAAAAAATTGACCACAATCTCAATTTTTCTTTGTCCGCATTCCTTCTATGTTCTCTATCTCTATTAACCTACCCCCCCAAAACAAAAGACACAACAACATGGAAGTAAACTTCATTTGGTGACACCTGCCCAGCTTTATTTATCAGACTGATACAGTTAAAGATGACCATCATCCACTGATGCTGATGTTGCTGCCAACATATTGTGCATCTCTAAACTACATGGCTGTCAAACTGCTAGAGGCAAGAATAAACTTATATGATCAAAAGCAATAAAGGGCTCGGATACTTCTTATTAAGAAGCCATGGATTTCATACAAAAAAGATTGACAACCGGTTGGAGGCCATTTTTTAATTCAAGCATAGGAATTGATAATGTTTTTTTTTTTACAGGTGATAGGATGGGCTTGCTTGAATGGATTGGGGCTCGTCTTTCCAATAAGTCGTAGAATATGAGAGATTAGGTCGTTACAAAAGAGAGAGTTTTGTTGGTGGTCAAAAGGCGCAAAGCAGAACCATCTCAACTCCACAATGAAATGAGTCAGCAGAGCGGATTTGATGCTTTGGGGGTTGACCAGGAACATCTTATTGGGGGTAGAACCTGAGGCAGGCCCAGAATTCACTAGAGGGACAACTCATCTTTCCTCATCTGGGAACTCCTCATGGATCCCCAAAATAAGGTGGAATATGTCACTGGACATAGAATTTGGCTACATTTCTCTTTCAGACCCCTTACTTATGTGTACTATGTTCCGCATACTACACTAAGAGTGATATAGGAAATACATACCTCTCATTGTACTTTTAAGAGGTATGTTTTTCTGTATTTCCTCAGTGAATGCTACTGCAAAGAGAAGCTTTTACTGAAGAAATATAGAAAATCAGATCTCAGTGATCCATGTCCATCCAGACATGGACCACTTCATGAACAGCATCCAACTTAAGGTTTGCATTGGACACTTGGTATACAGGTGCTGGTCATAAAATTAGAATATCATGAAAAAGTAGATTGATTTCAGTAATTCCATTTAAAAAGTGAAACTTGTATATTATATTCATACATTACATACAAACTCATATATTTCAGATGTTTATTTTGTTTAATTTTGATGATTACAAATGACAACAAATGAAAATCTCAAATTCATCATATCAGAAAATTAGAATATTACTGAAGACCAATAAAAACAAAGGATTTATAGAAATGTTGGCCAACTGAAAAGTATGAACATGAAAAGTATGAGCATGTACAGCACTCATTATTTAGTTGGGCCTCCTTTGGCCTGTATTACTGCAGCAATGCGGCGTGGCATGGAGTCGATCAGTCTGTGGCACTGCTCAGGTGTTATGATAGCCCAGGTTGCTCTAATAGTGGCTTTTAGCTCTTCTGAATTGTTGGGTCTGGTGTATTGCATCTTCTTCTTCACAATACCCCATAGATTTTCTATGGGGTTAAGGTCAGGAGAGTTTGCTGGCCAATTAAGAACAGGGATACCATGGTCCTTCAACCAGGTACTGGTAGCTTTGGCACTGTGTGCAGGTGCCAAGTCCTGTTGGAAAATGAAATCTGCATCTCCAAAAAGTTGGTCAGCTGCAGGAAGCATGAAGTGCTCTAAAACTTCCTGGTATGTGGCTGCGTTGACCCTGGACCTCAGAAAACACAATGGACCAACACCAGCAGATGACATGGCACCCCAAACCATCACTGACTGTGGAAACTTTACACTGGACTTCAAGCAACGTGGATGAAGTGCCTCTCTTCTTTTCCTCCAGACTCTGGGACCTTGATTTCCAAAGGAAATGCAAAATTTACTTTCATCAGAGAACATGACTTTGGACCACTCACCAGCAGTCCAGTCCTGTTTCTCTTTAGACGCTTCTGACGCTGTCTGTGGTTCAAGAGTGGCTTGACACAAGGAATGCGACAGCAGAAACCCATGTCTTTCATACGTCTGTGTGTGGTGGTTCTTGAAGCACTCACTCCAGCTGCAGTCCACTCTTTGTGAATCTCCCCCACATTTTTGAAGGGGTTTTGTTTCACAATCCTCTCCAGGGTGCGGTTATCTCTCTTGCTTATACACTTTTTTCGACCACATCTTTTCCTTCCCTTCGCCTCTCTATTAATGTGCTTGGACACTGAGCTCTGTGAACAGCCAGCCTCTTTAGCGATGACCTTTTGTGTCTTGCCCTCCTTGTGCAAGGTGTCGATGGTCGTCTTTTGGACAACTGTCAAGTCAGCAGTCTTCCCCATGATTGTGTAGCCTATAGAACTAGACTGAAAGACCATTTAAAGGCTTTTGCAGGTGGTTTGAGTTAATTAGCTGATGAGAGTGTGGCACCAGGGGCCATCAATTTTGAACCTTTTCACAATATTCTAATTTTCTGATATGATGAATTTGAGATTTTCATTTGTTGTCATTTGTAATCATCAAAATTAAACAAAATAAACATCTGAAATATATGAGTTTGTATGTAATGTATGAATATAATATACAAGTTTCACTTTTTAAATGGAATTACTGAAATCAATCCACTTTTTCATGATATTCTAATTTTATGACCAGCACCTGTAATTATGCAGTATTTGGACCAAAAATGTTTTCAAGGCCTCAAAAGTTATCATTCAGGTTAGTTTTACTGTAAGCAGTCATTTGAGATACCGGTAGCTCTTTTTGTGGCATTCAACATGCTGTCAAGACTGCATTAAATCAGCAGTTCGACCTTTTATTGATGGGATAAACTGAGGTGACTTTAGAGGCTTGAAGTGGTATGGTTCACCACGCAACTCTCACATCAATAACAGCCAGTCCGGGGGGAAAACAGTTATGGAGTCAATGGACACGCTGCCTGGTCAGGAGGTTAGCAAGGTCTGCTGCGATCAATAAAGCCTAACCGCTGGAGGCCAGAGTGGTGTAGCTACAGTTACACAAGCTATGTACAGTTAATATCTCTTTAGACTTTTATCTATCATTTAATGAATTTTAGATATAAAATAACTAAAAAAGTACCCTGATAATGTTGCTGTCTAACCTGGTAGACCTTTTTCTACTGGTTTCTACTGTTAAGGAGAAGATAGCAGATTTATTAACATAAATATTTTAGGGAAAGATGCAAGAAATTGTTGTTTAGGAACTAAATAACATCTACTCTTCATAGCATGAGAAACGTAGAACTTTATATTTAAGTGTTGTGTTTTTATTCTACTAGTTAGTTTGGTCCAGAATTGTAAGTCAACTGGTTGAAATTTGCCAGATGGTTGCACCATTGGGATCTAAATTAAGTCATCCAAATTAAACCAAACCAGTTTAGAGTTTCGGCCAAATGGACTACATGAAAACAGATGCCAGAGAAATGAGGAGGAAATATTAAACAGAAACCAGAATGTTTAGTTTACGGTCTGATGAGAGAAAATTGATTGGCAAGAGGTTATTCAGATTTTCTTGGATGTAACTAGGGATGGGGTATATTAAAACCTGTTAAAATAAGATAAAATGCCTTTTAGATCACAAAAATAGATTTACAGCAAAAAGCCGCACATCAAACCAGGCCCTCCTTTACCAAACATCATTTATCTCCATTCCAATGAAGTCAGACTGCAGAAGATATTTAGCTATGAGATGTTGAGTGAAAATCTGTTGGTATATCATACGATTGCAGGGTCAGAATAAGGTTTTTAGAGCAGAAAATGCCAGTGAACTACCACAGTACCATGCTGTGAACATGAGCCAGGAGCAACATTACATGCATGAATAATCGTTCTTCGAAACTGGGTAATGACAGGCTGGTTAAGATTTATGTCCGCCAGAGTAAGCAATGTTTGTAACATAGTTTATGCAGCATCAGCAGAAGCACTTGGATGGTTCTAAGTTTTAAACATAAATTAGCTTTGCAGATTTTATAGAACAGATGTTTTAATAGTGGTCAGGGCTTTTATGAACAAATTTGATAAAAGTTCATTCTAAAAAGAAGGGTGAATGAGGTAGAAGCATTGGTAGAGTTAAAAAAAAAGATGGATGACAGATGGATAATTGACTGATGGATGAAAGCATTGATGGGTTAAGGAAAGGACAAACAGATGAACAGATGGATTGACAAAAAGCAGTTGATGGCAGAAAATTTCAGAAACGGTAACTCTATTTCATATTCCACAAAGAACTAGACGAGAAATGTGATATAAAATTTAATGCTCTACATAGTTTTGCAGAGTTTGATAGAACTAGAAGTTCTTCCAGAACCTGACTGATAAAAACAACAAATCTCAATCAATCATTTGTGCCCTATAATTTAATAAGACTCAGCTTAATGATCTACAAACGTTTTAATCAGATGTAGAAAGTCTTTCAAACTAGAATATAATTTACCTCTACCAACCTTCATTCGCGCACAAGCAAACCTCACTTCAACTGCCATTTTAACAGGAAACCTTTGTTCTCACCAAAAACCGAGCAGATCTTAACATGATAGAACCAAACAGGCTTTGAATCACTGAGGTTATTCTTTAGGAACAAACTCCCGGCATTCGCCAGGATAACTGTCCTTTTCATGGACCTCTGCACAGACACCTACTACAGCATTTCCTTCAGTGGCAACAGTTCAAACACAATCCTCTCTTTCAGCAGGTAATAATGTAGTTTTCCCATGCATGACATCATACTGTGACAATGCAATCCCAGGTAAGCTTCATTGCCTTCATGCCAGCACACCACATGTCGATTTTTCCGCGTCTTACTCACCCTCTCAAGATCCTGACGAAGGTGCATAAAGAGTTTGAGTCGTCTGTAGAGGACGTCCTGCTCCTGCTGGGCCAGGTTGTCCACCTCGTCCCTTTTTAAAGTGACTAGGGGCTGATTGAAGTTGGCCTTCCTCTTTAACTTCCAGAACTGATATAAGAAATCCACCTAGAAGAAAGAAAATAATGCATTTAAGAAGTCATGGAACTGTGATACTTTTGTTGAATGTTGTAATGTCAATTTTTATTAGAGTTTATTCACATTTTCTCGACTAATAGAAATTAGTCAAGACTAATAGAAATAAAGTTTAATAGAATTAAACTTTATTGACATTACACTGTTACAAGTACAAAACAACAAAATCAACTCTCTCCATCATTGATGCTGGTGCTGCAGCTTCCCTTAGTGGCGAGAGAGAGATTTAAAGAAAATGTACTGAAAATATATGAATTTCTTTTGAATATTTTGGGAAATGATTTTGGCTTATTTTATTTCACTATTATTTGTATTTGTATTTTTATTTTATTATTTTGAAGCGTAATCAACATAGGTTCGCGAGAGTTATGTTGTCATGGCAATGCCAGGCAAGCTAATGGTCACCGGGGAAAGGGATATCCCGCTCACGGCAGCCGACTAGTAAGTTGAAATGGTCTAATGACATAAATGAGGAGGAACTACGGCACAGAAACACTTTTCGGATTCTGTGATTCAGTGATTATGAAGGAAAAAGCATTTCTCTGTCAAAAATCCACTATTTAGTCCTTTCGAAATGATTTTACATTTGTAGCATTAGTGAATCTGAAGTCTAGCTCTTCTTAATTTAATGCTTTGGTGAAACCAGAGTGTAGCTGAGGTCATGTTAGTGTAAATCATCACAGCAGGTCGAGCTTATTGGTTCCTTTTTGAGACTCCAAAGCAAAAGCATAATTCTAAATGAGCCTGGAGTGTTTGCACCTTTCTGGTCCTTTAAAGGAACAAGTGCTGCCATGTTGTCTTTCTCATTCCTGTGATTGTAATTTATTCTAAGTCACCAGCTGCGGGAGCATAGTGTATTTCATACTAATGATGGTGGATGACATCAGTTGCTGCTTATGAATCATTTCTTGCATGCAATTGAGTTTACCTGAATGAGCGGCAGCTCAAGGTTTTCGGCGACGTCGCTTGGATCCACCAGTCTGTAAAACTCATCCTCCAGCTCCTGGAGCTTCTGCTTCCTCTGGCTAACCTTCTCTCTCTCCAGCTGGTCTCGCTCGGCTCGCTCTGATGCAGACACCGAGACCAGGTGTGATACTCTGCTCTGATCCGTGTCACCGCAGCTGTTAAACCCCTGGTGCTGCTCTGGCTGCAGTTCAGAGCCAGGAGCCCAGTCGGATCTGGCAGCTAAGTCGGTGGTTGAAGGGACGGCGTGGTTTCCATTGGTTACACTGGTCGTGTTGGTGGCGGTGGAGCTGTGCTCCAGGCAGAAGGACTTGAAGCGCACCTCATCGTTTTCAGCCAGGATGGTCTTCATCTCCAGGCCGTGGTCAAAGGCGCACGTCACATGGAAGGCCACAATGCAGGAGGGCATGGAGCACTGAGAGGGAGAAAAAAGAAACAATTTTCATTGTTTTAAAATGTCCTTTTCTAGCCATTTACTACATCAATGAGGATCCAACAGCAGTGCAATAAAGCAGAAAAAGAAGCCAGGTCACCATAGACACTGATTCCCATCTCTGCTGGCATGTTGGTAAGTTGTCATAATTTCAGTGTGTGAGTGTTTCTCAGCACTATTCATTACAGGTCATACAAAGAGCCAACCTCCCACTGCGTCTCCTCAGGCATGGTGTGATTCCGCCTGTGTGAACCCTTGTGGCTAAGTGCTGTCAGCATTGTGAACATGAACATTTGAGGATGTGCGAGCCACTAGGTGCAGGTGTAGGTTTGGTGGTTGTACTTGTCAGAATAGTTCAACATACAGCAGAAGGGGTCTCTGCTGCGTTTGAATACAAGTGCAATGACAAAAAGCAGCCTGTTCTTGAATACTTCACCATCTAAGAAAAAAAACTCATGTCTGATGTTTCTAAAAACAGCTTATCTCTCATCATTTGGTTTAAATTTTAAGAGTAGGAGTAGGCAGATTATCTAAAACAAGTTCATATCCTTATTTGATGGAGAAAATTGGAATTGAATTCAATTCCAATTAGAGAGCTGAAATTTTTGACATTTGTATTAATAAAACCACACAGCAACTCATTGGTTTTCATGAGATTGACCACCACAGAATGCTAGATAATTGTGATGCTTAAGAATGATGTATGTTTTTTTTTTAAAGTACATTGCAAAAAAAAATATTTTAAAAATGTGGGATACATTTGGAATCTAACCCCTACAAAAATCTAATGATAATAAAAAAGGTCCTCTGTGAGGCGAGGTAAAAATATAAAACTTTGGAAAGGCTTAAAAAAATCTGAAATTGCTAATGGCCGTGCCCCCACAGTGAAACATAGCAGTTGCAGCATCATGCTGTGGGAACACTTTTTTTTTTCTCTGCAGGGGAAGTGAGTTTGTGCATAGTTGATTGTTAGATAGTTAGCATATCTAGCATATCAAGACTGTTTTTTTCATGTGAGAACGCTTTTTTCTATGTAACAGCTGACCGTAAAGTAAACTGCTCTTTTGTTAATCTTCCTGCAAGAAAACGAACATTAGCATATTGTGTGATGATATATTCATGTTAGAACGTCTCAGCCAAACTCTAACACCACATTCATGTAGAAATCAGTAGTGAGACTTGACCAACTGTGGGGCTGAGCCTTAGATTTATTGCTTATAAGGAAAATATGGAAAATTTCAGCTGGTAGTGTCAGGATTAGTGGATACTTGTTGAGGACCTAAAGGTCGAGATGAAAAGGCAGAGATGCTTTTTTTGCTAAGTTTGATTAAATAAAAATACAGAATTCATAATCTAGAACTGATCGACAAGAAACTCAGGAAGCAAAAACTAGGAGACGCTTGGGAGCAGTGAGGTCAAAAGTACACACTTTTGTTACTTAAGTAGAAGTATAGATACTGCAGTTTAAAAACACTTGGTAAAAGTTGAAGTATCAACTTGACCTCTTTACTCAAGTAAAAGTGAAAAAGTATGTGCTGCAAAAACTAGTTAAAGTATAAAAGTATAAAGTAACCTTTAAAAAAACAGCCAGATGCCACTATATGAATTGAAAGTTCTATTTTTCGACTATTTCTAAAAATTCTTTGAGATATGGCCAAGGATGAGGGAGGTCTTGTTGGTCTCAGTCTCCATCTCCTGATACACTCTTGCCTGTGTCCGACCTTTCAGACATTTCAGCATCTTTTTCTGAATCCGACATTGTAGCATGGCATAGACAATTCACATTTTCAGTTTGAAGAACACCTGCTTGCTTCTCATGATTTCCTTTAGCTAACCAATGAGTGTTTGCGTTCTATGACTCATCCAATCAAACTAGTTTTCACTAGATGTGGATGGAGCCAATGATCTGCATTGGATAGAGCGCATGACGGGAGATAAATATTTATAAACATTAAACCGAAGCCAAGAGTAATGAGTAATGTTTTTTTTTTTATGTAAGGAATAGAAAGTACAGATACTTAAATGTAATATAGATGCTGAAAATGTAATGAGTAGAAGTCAGAAGTTGGAATAAAAATAAGTAATGGAGTAAAGTATAGATATCTAAAAAGTGTACTTAAGTACAGTAACAAAGTATTTGTACTTTGTTACTTGACACCTCTGCTTGGGAGGAATTAACCTACAGAATGAAGAGAATCCAGCAACCAGCAACTGTAAGGGAGGAGTATATATATGCCAAAGAGAACAATGAATGGAGTAATCAAGTGATTGGGAGCAGGTGTGGACAGAATGATCTAGAAGGGACCTAGGGGAAAGGAGAGTGACACAAGGGGGCAACAGAGAGAAAACAAGAAATACAAAAGTCCTTCAATACAAATAGAAAATAACTTGAATGACATTAAATGGAAAATAAAAAAATGACCTAGAAATCAAAGTAACTGAAAACTCAAAACGAAAAAAACAAACAAATCAAAAAGTCCAGAAAGGGCAGAATCATGGCGGGTAGATAAAACTCAATTGGTGCTTTGATCTTTGTGAGTGTTAAAATATAGTTCCACAAAAGTATTTAGATAAAATGTGTATGGCACAATTTTAGATTCGCCTCAAAAAAACCAAAAACATAAAGGTACTTCTCATTTGGTTCAAAATTATGCATTATTATGTGTAGCTCTATTACATGAAATCCTGATTAACTTATTTAAGCTTTTAACAAAATATAGTATATTTTGTATATCGTTCTTTTTAGATAAATGTTTTTATTCAGTGAGAGTGATCTAAAAAAAATATGACTTATTATTTAGTATACATAAAAATAGGAAAATCTTTAGATTTCAGAGCTTTTTCTCACATTGTAAATACTAAAACAGATAAACTTTGAAGATCTTTTATTAATTATTTGGATTTACGAATTAGGAACTGCATAGAGAGCAACAACTAAACAGAACAATATCTATCAAAATATATCTGGAAATAGGGGATTTGTTTTATCTTTTAAATGAAGTTTGAAAACTACTCCCAATATTTAAATTTCTTTATTTAGACTGATAATCTGATCCCTAAATCCCTGGTCACAGATGATGCAGTTGAAGCCTTCAGCCAATAGTTATTTTGAACCCTACAGATACATCACCTTGTTAAAAAAAATGCACCTGCAATGAAAGGATAATATAGCTCCATTTAGTTCCAAAATGTCAGACAGCACTCACTGCAGCTGCTCACACTTATTTGCTGTCAAAAGGTTGAGCTCAGCGTGGAGCCAGTGAGATGTGTTGTTTACTCTGAACCACGTCACTGCAAAAAATAAATAAATAAACCATCTGGCCTTCTTGTGCCCACCTGTTCTGTTCTGATCGTCATTAGTTTATTTCTTTTAATCAATGCCATCATTACATCTTCAGTTTGTTGAGAAGAAACATGTTTGCTTCACTTAAATCAGTTTAAAATGTTTACCTGCTTGTTGTCTGCATTTCAAACAACCGTCATTCTTGCCTGCTTTTAATTACCTTATCTGCAGGGATGTCTCTGTCTTTGTCTACACCCACAAAAAAAAAAAAAAAAAAAAGAAAAAAAGAAAAAAACTAGAGAAGAAATGAATAATGTAGGGGAAAAAAAACATGTGGACCCCAATCAGGACAGCCGTTTTCTCGGTTCAAAAGTATATAGTGGCATTTGCACCATATTCGTCTGATCACTGCTGCACTTTATAAATGAAAATGTTAATTTCACTGTCGAAGCTGCTCATTCACTGCTGAAAAGCTGCATGCTTCGAAATTTCGTCTTGTATACAATTTCGTCTTGACTGTCATTTCGTATACACGAAATGACAGTCAAGTTTGTCTAAGTCTTCTTAATTGAGATTCAGGTTTTACCAAATTACCAATAGCAAAATTAAATCTATAGGTAATCAATCATAATTTATTTAAAATATTCTAAAATAAATGCATTTCTTTTTTACCCTCAGTGATAGAATAACCTTTTGGAGGTTGGGCTCTCATTAGCATGACATTAAGACCTTTGATCGGATTGTATGGTCTGGACCCAAAGCTCACTTTATTTTGTTTTTTTTTTCACATCATACCTTTTACCACTGGACTATAGCTTGTAAACAAAGCCAAGCATGGATCTTTTGGAACAGAGACCCTTCAAGTCTTATGTATAAACTCCTTTTTAGATGCTCCTATGGTTTGAACAGTGCTGTACACAGAGATCATAGATCTGGGGTTCAACTTAATAAGGAAGGGGTTCTTCACTTAAGTAGTCATATTTGTTCATTCCTTCAAAGATCAACAGACATTTTACAAATTAATTCTCTATAGTCTGTGATGGTTCTTTAACTAAGGGCAGCACATATCTGTTCACCATTAAAATGAAAGGCTAAGCAATATTCCTGGGGGTTGTATGTTAGTGCTGCTATTTTAGTGAGGGAATATCAACTTACTCTGTGTGACTGTTTTTGACATGTTTTTATCTAGTCTCATGCCATCATTAAAGCTTTTTCACATATATATATATATATGTATAATTTATTTTAGTTTTTTTTCCCTAGCCGACCCCACAGGTCTGTGATGGATACAATAATTGCATTTGTATATCTTCCTTTATTGGTGGCACAGCATGGAACTAAATCTAAAGATCAAACTAAATGACAGAGTGTATCAATGTGAAATGAGTCCATGAAGTTTTAGTTTCAACCCGACCAAATGTTTGTTTCGCAGTCTCTCCTTAATTTCCGACTAAATCCAAGATTTATAAAACACAAACTAGCTGCTTAAAATCTTCAACCACATGACAATTATGAAGTACAACTAGAATAAGCGTACAGTGGCAGATAACCTCATTAACCGAGACTGATGTCACACGCTGACTTTCTTTGAACATTTAGAAATATACCACAGGTTGTACTGGCTGACCTTTTCAGAGCCGCATGTTTTAGTCAAACACTGATTAAGAGCTCCTTGGAGGATTGCTAATTAATAAAATGG